AAAATAAATCCTGTGTGCAGTTTGCTCAAATAGGTTTTCCTATTCAACTCCAAAGGTTTAAAGCAGTTGTTAATCATGTGCTGTACACAGTGCTAAGCAGGGAAGTTTTCAGTTATTTCTAAAACATGTTATTCTGAGGCTATATTTGAATCTTCCATATTTACGTGATGAGGGGTTATGTCATAAAGTTAATCATTCCCAGGATGCTAGCATTCAGGGTAATGAAAAACTTCTTGTGCAAGCAGTCATTAATCAGTGCATATAACATTGCATAATGCTTTCTGAAGCATGTGTTATGTGATCAGAGTACAAGGCTGTACAGTACAGCAAAGTGTTTATGCCATATGCTGACCTTTTCTAAAGCAGAAATGGAGCCATGTGATGTGCTGCTCTTGCCAGCAGTTACTTATTGCCAATAATTAAGTTTGATGATATGAAGAAACACAAACTTGTATTCCTTTAGAATTGTAAAAGGAAGCTTTGAAGTTTTTGGCACTGTAAATCACAAAGATTGCCAGCTTGGCTTAGATACTCTACTGTTGTCCATTACATCAAAACTGGAATTAAGTGCCCTGTTCAAGTGGTTACTGGCATTTGTGTAAAGGAAAACACGCTCCATCGTTACAGGACTGCTGTATTATACGAAAGAGCAAAAAGGTTACAGGAAGAAAGCAAGCAAATGCATGCTCAGTACCTCGAATCTCAGTACATCACAATAACATCTGATGTTCTTGCAAAACAGTGCTAGTAAGTAGCTCTTACTTAATCTTCTACCGGTATTACACAAGTATACTTGCGAAATACTTCAGATAAATATTCTGTAATTATGTGAACTATAAAAGCACGTAAAGAACAAAATGTTTTTATAACTCTAAACACACATACCTGTGGAGACGTGGTTTTCATGAGCTATTTTAACAATGGAAACAATGCTTTAGAAGCTTTTATGAACAACCAGGATGCTATGTGCTGGAAGCAGAGTGGACATATGGACATGCACTTTATATATTATGCATACATATATATACAAAGTGATCAAAATTTTGCCCTGCCCACAGGCACTCTGTGTTTTCTTGCCAGCAGAATCAGGCTGCAAAGCTGGAATAACCAGCTTAGTACTGCTTCAGTACCAGCAACTATTCTGGTAGTGTAGCTTGTGTCATGGCTGCTCCCACACCACCTCCTCCCTGACTTGCTAGGGTTTCCTTTTACCTAACTGATGACAGACTGACTACAGAAAGGAGCTGGTACAGAAAGAGGAACCATGTTCCGTAAGTATTACCACCTGCTAACAGCTACACAGTTCCGTTAGGGGACGTCATGTATGTCATCAGTGGTCAAAGCAATTTCTGATATACCCTGCTTACTTCAAGGAACTATTTTCACATTTAACTAACTACTCCAATGCACAAAGCAGTCTAGCAGCCCAATTGCAAAGGTGTACAACCAATACTATGTCTATACAGGAACCAAGGTGCCCAAATGCAAAATTTGGATTCTCAAAATTTTTGCTTAGCTATTGAGATTTTCCTTTGACCTCTGAAGTTCTATTCCTGATGACAGTAGACAGCAGCAGCAGCCAAGCTGTATGATGGCCTTTGAAGATGCATGAATTAAGCCTTCCAAAGCTAAGGAATCTGAGACAGTAGGCATCTTCACATTTGACAGACAGGATGCCATGCAGTAGAAAGGTGATGCTGGGAACGAGAGTAAAGACAGCAGGATTCTAGTCCTTACTCCACAGTCTATTAATAGCATAATTAACAGTATAATATTTGCTGCGAGACAGGTCTTGCCTTCCCAATCAAACAGACTAGTTGTCACTATTGCTATGTAATTAACTAAAATATAAACATTCAAGTCAGGAATGAGTGAGAGACTCATTGATAAGGTCTTTAATCTGAAGATCAATTTCAGTGAAAGAGGGAGCAGAAATGTTCTGTTCTCCAACTATAGAATACCTAGATCAACTGACTGCAGCACACGTTTTCTAGTTTTTCAAACATGGGCTGATTTAAGCCTAGACAAGTGAAATTTTAAGAATCCAAAAGGAATTGGATTTGAGCATTTAAATGAAGAAAGAAATTTCCTTAAGTACAAAGTGAAAAAAAGTGCCTTAAAACATGCCCATGTCTTCATTTATGAACTGGTAGCATAGGTTGAACCCTTCTCACTTGCTGCACTTTTTGGATCCTTCCTCCTTTCAAATATTTACGTGGATAGCGAAGGAATCATATATGGCTGTTATGATTTCTATTAGTGATTATGTTATGATTTCTATTAGAGTACAGAACTCAGGCTGAAAGACGCCAGTATAGAAAAATCTGTGGAGCTGCCCTTCAAAACAGCAGAACTGACTGTGCCAAAGTGCATTATGACAGTCATTGCAGCTTGAACACACTAGGCAAACCACTTCTTCTGTCCAATTCCCTTCCAGGATCCACTGCTTCTTTGAAGCATGTTCCCTCTTTCTCTTCTTTTTATTGCTACTTTGTGGTGGCTGGCTATAAGAAAACAACCAAAACTATATTCAACATGTGCCAGGTTTTTTGGTCACTATCTAGGAATATATTTACTTTATATTAACAGTTCAGCTACATAACAGCTTTGAAGAGAACTTCTGCCAAAGTGGACTTCATACATAAAAAATGCAGAGTCAAACTCTTTCCTCACAAGCATACAGATGTATTATTAACATTTACATGTAACGAAAAAACAATCTTCAAAACTCTATCCTTGTAACTTAAATTTTTAACTTTCTTTCTGAACCGCACAAAAGAGACATGTTTTCTAAAGAATCTGTACAAACTGGCATAGGGTTTTTTAACATGCTAGGAAGAATTGAGCCAAAGATGATATCACAAAGTCCCTTATGCTTAAATGAAAATGTTAAATCAATTAGCAATTGCAAGAATAAAAAAGAAACTATTTGCTGTACGTTGCTTAAAAAAAACCCCAACTCTTCATGTCCTTTCGAAAGTGACTATATTATTATTATACAACATGAAAACAGCAACATATTCTCACCTCTTCAATGCTACAAAAGCCTTATTAGCATACACTTTAGAAATTATAATCAAAGAGAAGTAGTCACTAAAGAGAACTCTGAAGAATCTATAAATATATATGCATATACAGACTATACCTTCAAGAGTTAATGTACTATTTTGAACTCAAGTACTACAGTAAGACAGCTTTGACAAAGAATCTTTACAACCTCTAAAATAAATTCTTTTAACGTATTTCATATTTATTCCCATGTGAATGAATGTCCTTGGAAGAATTATCTACTAGATAAAGTTCTAAGATGAAATGTAAGTCTAGACTTAGTAAAGGAAGGGTGGAGACTGATATTACAACCTATGACAGCTGCTAATTTATGAGATGCTCATGATTGCTGCAGACCTGTCCAAACTGCAGCAAATGGCAGCAAACTGTAGGGCTGGGAGGAATGTGCTGCCTGGCATGCCACACCTTTGTAGAAAGTTAGAAATCACTTTGACTTCTACATTTATTCTAGCCTTGAACTACCAGATATATATCCTGAAATGCACAGTAACAAACATGTTCATCCCAGGTACTTGACTGCTCTTTCTGTAAAAGAATTTCTGAAATACAGCAAGTATAGCCACCTGTAACAGTAACAGTACACATCATAGAGGGTTCAAGGTTTTTGCTGGTAGCACTCTTGAACAAATACATTCAAAACTTCCTGTAATAACATACTACTATTGCATTCTGCAAGGGCTTGCCATTATTTTTCTCCTGGAGAGGGTCCAGCAGAGAGGCAAAGACGATAAAGGGCCTGGAGCACCTCCCCTGTGAGGAAAGGCTGAGTAACCTGGGTCTGTTCAGCCTAGAGAAAAGAAGACTCAGAGGTGATCTTAGTAATGCTTATAAATATGTTAAGTGTGGGAGAGAAAGGGCTATGGCCAACCGCTTTTCATTGGTCTATGGGGACAGGGCAAGGGGAAATGGCCATAAGCTGGAACATAGGAAGTTCTAAAATCAATATGCAGAAGAACTTTTCCATGGCGAGGGTAATGGAGCTCTGAAATGGGCTGCCCAGACGTGCCTGTGGATTTTCCTCCCCTGGAGATATTCAAGACCCATTCAGATGCCTGCTTGTGCAGCCTGCTGTAGTGACCATGCTTTGGTACGGGGGTTGGACTTGATGATTTCTGGTGGTCCCTTCCAACTTCTACAATTTTACTTACACGAATATATATGCACACTCATAGACATATATACAAGGGCTGCTCCGAAAGTAATGCCTCTTTATTATATTGGCCCACGATGTCAGAGCCAGATGTTGGTAGCAGGGTAGCAGAAGATGAATCTTCCCATCCACATTCTGTTACACGTCGTTGCCATGTGACAGATGGCAGCAGAGGAGCAGTCTGACAAAATGGTGTTTGACATGGAAGTGCACATGAAGCAAAGGGGTGTCACTGAATTTTTCTGTGTAGAAAAAATGGCAACAGAGATAGCAGGTCACCTCTACTGGTGCAGATTTTACAAGAGCAGCATGTTGGCTCTTGTCCATCAGTGATGAAAATGCACAGCCAATAGTAGGGACTGTGTTGAAAAATAGTGTTCTGTAGCTGAGAACTTTCTCTATCAAGTACTGTTACTGTGTTCTTTGCAGCTGTTGTAATTTCTATGGTAACAAATAAGAGGCATTACTTTTGGAGCAGCCTACGTTTGTAGATGACATTTCTATATAGCTGTATTATAATCTGGAATGAATACATTGTACTAACACACTGCACTCTGCAGAAGTAAGGAAGTGCATATGCAACTCTACTTCAAGACTGAATAATAAAAATTTTGCCTTTGCAAATATTCGGTGATAACATGGTTATTTACAATCAAATCTCTCAAAAATCTATTGGGATAATTTTTCATACTCTTTTAACTTTGCTTATAAAACATCAATGTTTAATGAGCAAACAAAAAAAATCACCACATAAGTCACTAGATTCCTCCTGTGTGCTTACCTGAGCAACAGACTCTGACAAAATGAAATCTAACAGGAAAAAAAAAAAAAAAAAAGACACGATTGAAAAAGTAGTATTTGGAATCCCTCAAAACACCCAAAAGGAATTTCATTACCTTTAGCTGAACACATCTCTCCTTTTGGCTTATATGTTCACAACTATTCTCCTTCTCTCACTTTTGGAAATAGATGTCTTTCTAGAAATGTGCAGAAAAAGAACATCTTAAAATAGCTGCACTGTCATCACACCGTAAGTGCATTAAATGTACAAATTTCACTAGACAATTAAGTCCTATGACTTTTCATCAGTGGTTGGATGTGTGTAAAACTTCATAAATGAGAGATGGAAGTATATCTTGTTCTGTTTACACCAGAAAAAATACCAACTTTTTTTTTTCCTGAATATTATAAATCTTGACTAATCTCAATAGACACCTTTCCAGGTATTTGCTTACATGGAGAAGTAATGAAACAAAAACTAAACTGGTGATAAATTAAGATACGTCAATCACTGTTTTCATTTTCCATCTATGAGCCGTTTTTTGGTACTATGAAGTACCAGTAATACTGAACACATTAATTTACTTCCCATGTCTTCCGAAGACAAATTCAAGCTAGTCTCTGTTCTGTAGAAGAGACCAGTTCGTTTCTGCTGAATTCAACAGATACATCACAGAACAATGACTGACATAAATATGAAACAGCTGCAAATGATACATCCTAGCATTTACTATTTTGAATGCAGGTAGTTAAAAGCAGTTGCTAAAAAGCAGATACGAACACTGAAGTAAGACTACGAGTAATTGTGCATAGACTGACAGAATTTCAACAACCCGGCACAAATGGTTCTACAAATTCCACAGATTGTTAGACAAAATAACATTCTTCAAGTGCTCTTAAGTGTATCATTACACAATCTGAGAAAAAAGGACCAGGTTTCTTCATAGCAGGTGAGATACTCAAAGGCACTGAAGTGACTGATGTTATTCAGACAATTCTTAAAACTTCAGCCAGAAACTTAGTAAAAGTAGTGAGACGTGAGTTGCTTCCATATTAATGATTTCATAGGTTAGAAGCAAAAATGAGGTATATGGGTTATATAAATTCACACACTAACTTCTGCAAGAATACTTGGACTGTTTGGCACTTGAACTTACACCACTGAGACGCTCAAGGTAACTGATCTACCTGTAATATAACCTTTTGATACTGAACTCAATATTGAAGTACAGAAGAATTCAGTATCCACTTCAGTTGAGCAAAAGCAAGGATAAGGAGCTGCTTATGCTTGGGGAACCATGAAATAACCTTTCAGGAAATCAGAAGAGATCAGGGGCCATTTACTATTGAGATATTGTGGAGAAAAGCACGGCTTTACCACAAACTGAAAGAACCGAGTCTAAGCACTTGAAGGAGGATCTGCCAGATCATAACTTTCCTAATAAAAATGGGGCTTTATAAGAGCATTTCTGTTGCAAACCATCCTTTCATGGAAGTAGAAATCTAACACTGCTATTTACTAGGAGCAATTGAAAGTCATCATAATGCTAGTTACTTAAGAACAGAGACAGTAAGTGTTCAACACATTCTTTGCAAAAATTCCTCTATTGCAATATCACTACCTAGAACCTTTAAGTACCATGCTAATGGTACTCAATTTTAAATAGCATTCAAATTCTTAACTTCAAAGAAGAGATTCAAGTTGCCACAATCCAACAATATCTTCTCCTTAGAAAAGGAATAGAGACTATGACAGCAAAATTATTTTCTGAAATCAAAACTGCTAGTTAAAGGCACAAATCTACCGTCTCACATCACGGTATGTGAAGTTAAGTTTGTTATAAAAAACATTCATGGAAAGCAGTTAATCAGTCCTTGTTAAGAAACCAAAGACATCTCAATAACCTGACAGTACATCAAAGTTATACACAAACACAAATCAGTCAGCACAGACTTAGTATTTTTTAAAATCTCATTAACGTAATTATTTCCTGCTCAGTAAAAATGAAAATGACATGTTAGCATTTCAAAAACAGGAGAAAATGACCCTCAAGGCTTTATATGACTATAAAAACAAGCACCGGTACTTTATTTGCAAATTATCATGCACGAAATGATCAACTCAGCAAGTTCACCAGTTAATAAAGTGTGTGCTCTACCAGTTAAAACCAATTTACATGTAATGATATGCCTAAATGTGAATTTAAATGAGTTCTTGTCACTTCATGTTGAACAGCTGCTTTATCGTCACAGAATGGACACTGACCACAGTTCATCCTGCAGAAAAAGCAGACCATGCACAAGTTTCATGAGTCAACAGTAATTAACTGCAAAGAAATTTGTTTTCTATAAAAAGACAGCCTCTGATTGCTAAGATACGCTTATTTTCCAGTCAAGTTAACAAAAATGCTTTTTAAGAGTTTGTTTTCAGGTATTTATTGTATATAGCACAATCAGAACAAATACACAGTATGAATCACCACTGTTTTCTCACCTCATAACCTACTGGATTTCTCTTTCAAAGCACGAAAAGAACCCTGAGGCTGCCACAGAACAAAGAACATTTCATTATCATCCCTGTTGTATATAAATATTCATTATTAGACTCTTCGAAAAGGATATTCTGGGTCCTTTATAGAAGAGAATTCTAGTCTTTTTAGCAGCGTATTAGTCATATCCCCACACAAAAAGTACTTAACACAGTCACCACAAACTTAAAATAACTAAGATAAGTGAAATAAAGTTCCTTAACAGCAGACAGTACCGATCAGATGATATTTTGGAAGAATGCAAGACAAAGCCAGTTTAAAGAATAATAATGCATTAGTAAGGCAGGAATCTAAGATATCTTCATTTAATACAATTAAATGAATATACTGGCCATGACTTCACCAAAAGGATGCCATTATGTGCTATTCTCATAAAAGTTAACTTTGTTTTACTAAGAATAATACAAGTTAGACAATTAAATTTGACATTTATCAAACAATAATCTTTTTCATTTCCCTTCACTTTATTTATAATGTACATATTCAGGTAGAATATTCAGACATAATTTTTACTGATATACAGAATCATTTGAATGCATATTTGGTACAATTTTTTATTTTTGTTTTTTGGCAGTCACTTTGATATTTGATAAAATGATAAACCGGATTTATACTTCACATCACATTTAGGTTTTGTCTATATAAAGAATTTAAAGAGCTTTTTTAAATTACAGACTGGTAAGTTTCACATATATGGAATATTTAAAATGCTGTATGAACCTGTGACCTTGCCTATACAAGGCCTTCAGATACTGTAATGAGCTTAAGTAGGCACACATTTCTATCCTGCCCCAGCATGGATACACAAAAGATGTTGGAACATCAGTATGATTTGCTTTAACTTTGGTGGCTGTAATATTCTAGGCATAGATGCAAAGTGCATCTTAGTGGTCCTTGTATCTGTACATATACCCCATTTCATTTTAAAGGCATCTGCTTCTTTTATTCTCCCTTGTAGCGAGGAGATCTTTTCTCTTTAAACGCAAGAAGACCTTCAATTCTATCCTTTGTTGGAATAGTCTGCAAAGAGCAGAGTAACATTTCATTACAGATATAAAAAAAAAATCAATCAAGAAAACTGCTTCTGTACAAATTTTTGTACCAGTTCTTCCCTGTAATATAGCACAACAGAAGAAAGAAAACTGCAATGTATAGTCGGATGTAGGAAAGTAGCAGTCACTTCAAAGGCATTCGGTAAGGCTAAGAGACAGTCTGGGAGAAGGAGTCTCTTTTGTCTGAACAGATAACACTGAGAATCTCTAGATTTTGTTTCAGGGTTTTCATGTGCTGGTTGCTTTCGGTTTCTTTGTTATGTGGCTGTTTTGGTGGGTTTTGGGGGAAATGGAGGTGGTTTGTAATCAGATCACTGCATACTTTAAGTAAGTGCATCTCTAATGCTAACGCTTCTGTTTCTGTCATCAAAAATTTATCATGAAGTTCAAGAACATGCAAAATAAGAATATACTATTCTCATATTTTGCTGGCAAAGATGCTTATCTTGATTTTCTTTTGGAAAGCATGCACGCTGTGAAGTAGCACGTGCTTGTTAAGTGTCGTCTATGTTGTTACATGTTAAACCAAAAATCAATGGCAAATTGGAATAGATGCACAGCAATGCATAGCTGGCATAGTATGGGACTGACAGTGCTTAATTTCCTTCAGCCAAACAGTTTCTGTCCTACACCTCCTTTCTTAAATTCCTCACTGAAAAAAATAATAATAATTAAAAAAAAAATTAACTGGAAGGCATAAATACAGTGACAAAATATTTGTAGAAGAAACAAGTCTTCACAGAGTACTCAAGAAAAGCCTCTTTTTTACATTTTTCATGTAATCACAGTTACATACCTGAGCATAACAAGCTTCTTCAATTGCTAGGCCTGTTACTAAGTCAACCTGAGGAAAAGAATTCAACATTCTTTAAAGCATATTTTTGTACATTTCAAGTGCATTATTTCTTATCAGCTAACTTACATACTATGTTTCTATATGCCAAACTATAGAACATGTCTATGAAGTTCTTCTACACTACTTAACATAGAAATATCTCATTGCCAAGTGGTGACAGTGCCTTGCATTTCTGGAACGGTTCCTGTATATCGTGATAAAACTGTATGTAACACGCTGTCAAAACAATGTATGCTCTTCATTTACAAATGATCAGAACTAAAAGTTATTACAGACATGCATTTTTTGATCATTTCAACTGCTACAAGGGAAAAACGATTTACTGCAAGATTGTTCCAAAATCACTCTGAGGAAAGTGTCTTCAAAAATTCTTATAAGAAAACGGTGCCATGCTAAAAATTTAACATGAATTCAATTTTAAATGGATTTTAAAAAGTAAACGAAGCCAGTGGCAATCCTGCACCATCACCTACTTTTGAAAACAATTTTCTTTGTGGGCTGGTCTAAACAGCTGAAATGGCCATTCAGGAATGACTGAAATGACTTTTTCCTCAGTACTTCTCTGCCTTTCTAAAATGTCAGCTGCTGCAGAAATTATCAGCTCTCCAAATGGCCAGGGAAAGGACTGTGGCAGCTATGCAACACAAGTAGATTGTCAAGTTAAGATAAGCTAAAAAGACTACCTAGAGAAGCCATGAAATCTCTGCCTTTATTAGCAATGGTAGGAACATTTGGCTTCATCACTTTTGATACAGTAGATTTTGTCTTGAGTCTCAAGGCTGAACTACATGATCATAGAGAGTTCTTGAATTTGTTTCTGCAACTTTGAAAAGAAAAATGTTCTTAATTCGTACTCCTGGATTTAGATTCTGCATGTGATTCAACTTTCCCACACTGAATTATATGGTGTTCTGGTGCAGACCTTATTCATGTGCTTAATTTTAAGCAAGAATAGTCCTGCTGAGCTCAGCAAGATAATTCACAAGCCTAAAGTAAAATATACGTCTGGATGTGTTCAGGCCAGGTATTTAAGGAACTTCAGAACTTGGTTCACTACCATTTAAGAAGGGGTGGCAACTAGAGTGAAATATGAAATAGGTCTTCAGATATAATTATAGAAGTAGTTTCTATGAAAGTAATAAAAATACAAAAAGGTATCTCTTGGTCTTTGTTATGTAATAAACACTAAACTGAGAGCCTTGACAGAATTGATTTTTTCCTGCAGATTTATATTTGTAATATAACTTATTCATAATGGTCTATGTTTACTTTCTGGAATTAATAGTTGGCAAAGTGCATTACACCTCGGCAGATGTGGGATCGCTATGCCTTGTTGTGGAAATCAACATTCATTCTGTTCTCAAGAATTAAGAATCAATAAATACAGACATGAAAGTATTATATTTAATCTTCAAAAAAAGTTGTGACCAAATGGATTTTGAAAGGCTATTAACTGAGAAACTAAACACACTTCTAGGAAAAAAAATAAATATCACCACAGTAAACTTGCCTATCTGACTTCTGATTATACTTATGGGAAGTACAAGTCCTTACCTCCATTCCCTGATCAATGGCCAGCTTTGCAACTCTCATTGCTACTGGTCCCTAAAATGAAAGACAAGGATTATTTAATCACTATCAAATTCTAAAAGATTGTGCAGTAAACAACCTGCACATTAATGTTCCTGCGCTGGTAACTTCTACACTTTAGAAATTTATTAAACAGGTAAAATATTCTAAAATATATGACTAAAGTAGCTACTTTCTTCCAAACTTTTCTTCTTTCAATATTGAGAAAATATCGAAGATGCATATTGTTTTCAGAAATGGTGACTTAGACAGTGTTTTGGGCTTACATGCTCTTTTGTCAAGATTGCTTGATTCCCATCAAAACCAGGCTCAGAATGGCAACTATAAGAGCATATCATTATAGAATTGAAAAATTTTACTGTTAAACTTTTGATCTGATAGAGAGCTTTACTAATTTCCTTTAATGCTATCCCCCATGAATTTTGCTACCTTGGGTACCTCACTAGGAAAGCAAGTTTATCAAGAGCTCCCACTGCGAACAACAACCTGCACTCTATAGCATAATGGAACAGGTAGCAATTGGCTAACACAAAGACCCCTGTAAAAGTCATCATTAAACTTATTACCAAAAGTTTTAAGTTCTAAAGCCCAGAAATTCAGCAAAATCCATTTTAACTCTTTTAGTAAAAGACAGAGATAAGATGGCATGAAGAATCAATTATATAAAAGCATAATACTTTAATCAAGTATATACACAAAGGACAGAAAGCAAATAGATCACTTTCCAGTACCAAATGAGTTTTGCTTTAATACTGAAATTGCACTCAAGGTTTTCAAAACAAAATCTACACTGAGATACACTCACTTTCATAACGACATTTGTGTCTCTTCTGAAGTGCTCAACAGTAATGGAATATTGAATAACTGCTTTAGAGTAAAAATAGCACACTATTTTAATGTTCAAAGCATTAAAAGCGAAATATACAATGCAAACACATACTACAACACTAGTATTAACAAAGTTTATTTGCTTCACTGAAATTCTTACCAAGTAACCATACCTTTCAATAAATGAAAAAGATCATTTTTCATTGCTCTCTATATAAATAGAGTGGCTTCTTAATACGTAACTTCATGACAGTTTTTCTGAATACAGAAGATTCTTTTTTCTAGTGTTAATATTTGTTAGCAATTAAGAACAAAATAATTTGTTGTACCTGAGGTAAAAATTCTCTTGCCAGAGCTAGTGCTCGTCTGTATGCAGCATCCCCTGCTTCATTCTGTTCTACCACATGGCTAATCAATCCTATTGACTTTGCTTCCTCACCGTCCACGATGCGTGCAGAGAAGATTAGCTCTTTAGCCAAAGATACTCCAATTGTACGAGGTAATCTCTGTGTTCCCCCTAATGTTTGAAAAAAAGAGAAAAATGCAAATATTAGTTTCACTCATTCATCTATCATAGAAACAGAGGTGATACTTGCTCATTCCAAATATCTTCACTTCTAATTCCATAAGCATTTATGTGAAGCATAACGAAATTATACTAATATACAAAGACATTCTCAATTGCCTTTTTCAGTTTTGAAACTATGTTTAAAATGAAATAAATTGCTCTGTTTCTCAGAAAACATGTAAACAGATGTAAAGAGCTGAATAGAATTTGCTTGATTACAGACAGGCTACTTCACCTCATATTCAGCCAAACGCTAAAGGAAAACAGGTTGCAACTATAACCAAAAAGTTGACTTATTTTAAAAATCTGTATATTTACATGGTATTAATAATCACAATATGAACACTTCTGAAGAACAATACTCAAGAAGAACATGTACTCCAGGAAACAGTAGCCAGCGCTAAAATTTCCATGTATTGAGGACAGTAAACATTTCTTACATAAACTAAAGACAAGGTATTTAAAATGACACATTCTCATCTTTTTTTCTGCAATAGTGTTGAAATCTAAAGTCTTATCATAAAAATATGAAAGAATAATGATGGATATAGATGAATAGAGAAGGACATCTAACCTAATTTTCTTACTGTGTTAAAAACTTATTTGGTGTTTTGAGGTCAATAAGCAGTAACTGTATTAATCAGACATGTGTAGATTGCTTACTTATACTAAAAATTAACTAGAATTAACAAACTGTGATAGTGTGAGCATAACCATCGTCAGAACTGAAATACCAAAAACAGTTATTTGTATGAATTATGAACAAAAATGGCCTTCATCTGGAACAATGTATTTTGAACCCATTCAAGAAATTCTGAACAGAATATCTGAAAAGAATATTCCACTAGGACAGACGGTCCATAACTTAGCAATTCTTTCCAAATAGCTATTTCTACAGCAGTATGCTAATATATTTAAAATACAAGAGGGATATTTACAAAAATTTTCAAGGACAGCTGGTATAACGCTGGACAAATTTATATTCAATTAATGTAAAGCAGAGTGACTTCCAATAGATAATGGTAGACTAAGCCAGTAGTACAGTTCTGTAGTCATTCAATTCTCTTTCCTGAGACAACTATACCAAATGAAAACAACAAAATCTTTCTGTGATTCCATGATCCAGCTTTCAATTATTACTTCTTATGAATCACAAGATTCAGCACAACCGTATTTCCTTCCATAAAAGCATACTTCCCTTTGAACACATTACATCATAGAAAAATGCAGGGAGCAGGCACAATTTACACCTTACGCCTTCCTAGAATATTAGAAAACCATGATATAAAACAAAAACCTGATATATGTTTTTCTGGGGTGAAATTGATGGAACTGAAAAAAATGACTATACTCACAATAACTACAATAAAAATCTGTGGAATACCCACATTAGTGAAAACAAGCAATGTGATATTCTGTACAGTCCTAACAATCCAGGATGACTGTAGTAAGACCATCATCATAGTCAAAGATGACAGGCAATAGAAAGATAAACTCCTACTTGTATGTTCTGTTAATTCAGCTAAGTGGGTGACAGTGCTAGCAGAAGAATTTTGCTAACAGCACCCATCAGTTGAAACACAGAATTTAAAGAAAGCCATTATTCTAGAACATTTTTACGGGGGGTAGAGGCTGCGGGTGGAGACTGGGGGGGGGGGGGGGGGGGGGGGGAGGGAGAACATCCAAACAAAATCCCTTTTAAAATACTACAGACCCTAAACAGTATGCTTTCCTATTAGTCTTGGCTGCCTCACTGGTAAGATTGACAGAAAATTACTTAAACTCCAGCTATAAAATTTAAATCCTAACTAAAGGCCACGGCCACAAAAATATGAGCTGTGTTTTCAAGAAGTTTACTGCTTTAGGATACTAAACTGCACTGCCACTACTGCAAAGGAACATTTACTGACTTTTCTTGTTTTTTTCTTTTTTAAATATTGAACAAGTCTTTTCATTTCTCACCGAAAGAAGCTTTCATATCCCAATTAGTATCTATTCTTGAACACATTTACATGTACATCAGAACATTGCAGATGTCTACTCTGACTCTCTTTAGGAATAGTTTACTCATAAACTATTGCTTTCACCCGAGCAATAGAATCCAGATGAGCATCAGGCTTGATTAAAGAAAATAATCTGTGCAATTCTTAAGACCTGAAACCATAAGAATCTTCTGATTCCATGACATCTGTTTCTTCTTTGTTGGTTATGCCTGATATTTTTTTCTGCTTAACTATCTTCCCTTCCTTCAGTGTTTTATCTCTTCTATTACTGCTTCTACCAGGAAATCTTGAAGAAAAAAAAAAAAAAAAATTGTGTAACAGTATTTCATAACTTTGACAAAGAAATGGATATGTTTAAGCATGAAATACTGTTTATAAACGGAGAAAAAAAAAGTATTCTTGCCAGTGTCTTACATAAAAATGATTAAAGAACAAAAAAAAGCAGACTCTAGTCCATGTCATTTGGCTGTCTCCCACACTGCAAAGCCGCTAAGCAGAGGAGAGTGTTGATTTACATTCAAAGAGTAGAATACAACACTTCACTGCATGAATCATATGTACTCACTGGTAGGAATAAGATATATGCATACATAAAAGCAATAAGATAATTAATCAAATTCAAAGAACACACCAAAGTACACTTAAGTTACATCCATTTATGAAGAAAATACAGAAAGGACATTGCAGATAGACATTGTGCTATGGTAACACACTAAAACAAATTACACTTGCCAACCACAATCAGAGCGAAATGGAGAAACACCCAGTCTTCAAAGATATTACTTAACCAAGACATTTCATCTAAATGTAGAGGAAAATCTGACTGACGAATACTTGCTTCTTCACAAATTTATGGACATCTCATTTCAAGGACCAGTGATCTAGTATTGCTCAGTGTGCTGATAAAAGTATTTGACATACAGTTAGAATGCAAATGCATTCTTATCTGAGACAGTTTATATTTAATGTTGTGATAGCTGTAAATGCCAGTCTTAGATGACAGTAGTCTGTGTGGAAAGACACACTAAATACAACAGTGTTGTGTACTGGTATGAATACTGTTAAATGGTTTTTTTTTCTTAACAATTGATTCTGTATGAGTATTTATTTACTGTTAGCAATTCATCAATTACAAAATATGTACACAACTGGTTTGGATTAAGGGAATTACGTAATAAATTCCCAAGCATGTATCCAACAAGATGAAGCAACTAGCTTACTGGAAATAGATTCATCTTTCTGGCAGAAAATATCTGCAGCAGTTTCTCATAGCTCAAGGCTCTGTCAAAACATATTGGATGAAATCCTATTTTGACAAAAAAAAAAAAAAATCCAAACTTAAATTTAAACTTAATAATAACTTTTATTAAGTCAAGTAAAAATTATTCTTTCTATTGCGTTCTTCACAGCATAAGCTTTGCTTGACTTTCATTGGATTGAGTTAACTCACTTCTATCCAGTTTTGTCATTTTAAAGATTCCCGCACCTTTGTTTTACTGATAAACAATGGTGAAATTAAAGTACACCAGCCACAAACTTTCTGACTGTGCTAGTCAGTCAAATATATCTTATGGGTATACTTGTGATTCTTACACACAAGACTGTGAAGCATAGGCTTTTCTACTTTTCCATTGAAAACCATCGAAGAATGGAATGCAGAAGCCTACTGTTATTAATATCTAACCCTTATTTCATAAGAGTGTGTATTTTAATGTAAGATTTTTCAGTCATGAAAATACTATGCCAAATTTACATGCAACAAATATTTTACACTTCTAAAATACCTGCAGTCCATTGCTAAATAAAGCAATTTTGAAAAATATCAAACGTTCTAAAAGCCATAAAGACAATATTTAACAATGATTTTTTAACAGATTATTTACCAGATCAGGTCTTGATCCTGCAAGGATGTAAGAGTTTCATCTAACTTAAACCTAAGAATAAATTATAATGGGATCAGACATCCCAAATCCCTTCAAAAAAAGAAAACATAAAGAGCCCATAATAGGCATGAAGTAAGTAACTAACTACTGAAATCAGCTTAGGCTGGTAAGGACATCATCAAAGATGCAAAGGACAAGGTGAAAATCACATGAAGTAAAAAGGAAACAAAATGCTATCTCATAAGACAAGAAAAGCAGCAAGCTGAGTAGGCAATTAGGCAAGGCCTCTCTCATTTCTGGCCTTATCAGTAGTTTGGAAAATGGGCAGAGACCTGGAAGAAATACACTGCTGAGCAAGCCCAACACAATGGCTGAAGCCTGACTCAGAAGTTGCTTCAGGTCTGTGATGACTGAGAACAGAAGCAGTAACCAGAAAGGATTTAGTGGGAAGCTGCCATAAGGGCTAGTGGGATTTTATCTCACCAGTCAAGCAAAAGAAATCTCTGCAGCAATCTCAGTCACAGCTTCACCTAAGATTGAAGGCGATGGAATTCCAGTTACCTACAGCAGCCTGGCAGCTGCAAACCTCAGCTCCAAAACTTTCAACCTAACCTGAAAATTACTTCTTATTTTCACAATCTGTTTTATTCATCTGCATCTGTAGATTGGCTTACTTAAAAACCTATTTAAAAATGCCTGGAATATATCAAAACTTCATGCCTGAGTGGCTAGAAAGTGGCAGCTTGAGTCAGTAGAATGTAGTACTTGGCTTGAAGATGTAGGAAGGCTCAGGATTTGTAAAAGAAAGTATAAACATATTCTCAGAATTCACTAGCAGTTAAATAGTCACAGCCTTTGTACAGAAAGATGAAATTATTATGTAATTTAGAAAATATGATTTATTTTCAAAGTAAGTAATTCTCTTGATAATTAAGAAAGATTTAAAAAAATAGTTTCCCAGCAGATACTTGAATATATGAAATTAATCTGGAACTCAATTTTAAAAGGCACTCCAAAATGGATTCTAGATCTGGTGTGAGGCACTTTCTACATATTTCCAACA